GAGTTCCGTCAGCACGATGGCGTGGTGACGATCTTGATGTTCTACTGTCGCAGGACTTCGCCTAAGCACCACTACAATATTATCGAGGACTATGGTGGAAGGGGGCACCGCACACGACTAAGAGAACGATCTTAGAGACCAACTTGTGTGTCTAGGGGTGCCCCCTACCCCCGTATATAAAGGAGCCAAGGGGGGGTGCGGCCGGACCTAGGAGGAGGCGCGCAGGAGGAGTCCTACTCCTTCCGGGAGTAGGACTCCCCTCCCTTTCCCTAGTTGGATTAGGACTTGGGGGGAAGGAGGAGAGGGAAGAAAGGAAGGAGGGGGGGGGGCACCGCCCCCCTTCCTTGTCCAATTCGGACTTGGGGGGGAGGGGCGCGCGGCAGCCCCTAGGCCTCCTCTCCTCTTCCTCCACTAGGCCCATTAAGGCCCATTAGGTTACCGGGGGGTTCCGGTAACCTCCCGGTACTCCGGTAAAATGCCGATTTCACCCGGAACACTTCCGATGTCCAAACATAGGCTTTCAATATATCAATCTTTATGTCTCGACCATTTCGAGACTCCTCGTCATGTCCGTGATCACATCCGGAACTCCGAACTAACTTCGGTACATCAAAACTCATAAACTCATAATATAACTGTCATTGAAACCTTAAGTGTGCGGACCCTACGGGTTCGAGAACAATGTAGACATGACCGAGACACGTCTCCGGTCAATAACCAATAGCGGAACCTGGATGCTCATATTGGCTCCCACATATTCTACGAAGATCTTTATCGGTCAGACCGCATAACAACATGCGTTTGTTCCCTTTGTCATTGGTATGTTACTTGCCCGAGATTCGATCGTCGGTATCTCAATACCTAGTTCAATCTCGTTACCGGCAAGTCTCTTTACTCATTTTGTAATACATCATCTCGCAACTAACTCATTAGTTGCAATGCTTGCAAGGCTTATGTGATGTGCATTACGGAGAGGGCCTAGAGATACCTCTCCGACAATCGGAGTGACAAATCCTAATCTCGAAATACGCCAACCCAACATTTACCTTTGGAGACACCTGTAGAGCTCCTTTATAATCACCCAGTTACGTTGTGACGTTTGGTAGCACACAAAGTGTTCCTCCGGCAAACGGGAGTTGCATAATACCATAGTCATAGGAACATGTATAAGTCATGAAGAAAGCAATAGCAACATACTAAACGATCGGGTGCTAAGCTAATGGAATGGGTCATGTCAATCACATCATTCTCCTAATAATGTGATCCCGTTAATCAAATGACAACACATGTTTATGGTTAGGAAACATAACCATCTTTGATTAACGAGCTAGTCAAGCAAAGGCATACTAGTGACGTTTAGTTTGTCTATGTATTCACACAAGTATTATGTTTCCAGATAATACAATTCTAGCATCAATAATAAACATTTATCATGATATAAGGAAATAAAATAATAACATTATTATTGCCTCTAGGGCATATTTCCTTCAAGAGTACCATGCAGCGTCCGCCAAATAAAAAAATTCACCTTCTCTGGACAAGATAACTTCCAAATCTTACACCAAATTGGATTAAAGTTTGTTCGACCCATTCCATTAGTACGACGAATTTCTTCCATGTTGATAATCCTACTCAACAAAATATGCAGACCGAACAGAAAAAATCCCACTCTTAGTATGACTCCGGGCAACAAAATCTGACATATCAAACTGAGGCAGAGGGATAGCAAGGACCCGCTGTGAATCAATGGGCCACAAGGTCTGTCTGATGAGATCCTCATCCCACCTATTCGAAGAAGGGTCAATGAAATCCGACACTTTTGATAACAAATGTTGCCCCTTTGGAGTGATGACTTTTCTATTAACACAGTTAGGGATCCAAGCATCTTCCCAAATGTCAATTTTCTGACCATTTCCAACTCGCCAAATATAGCCATGTTTTAAGGTATTAATCCCCGCCATAATACTTTGCCACGTGAAGGATGATCCCTTTTTTAACTTTGCATTCAATAAATCTCCATCAGGGAAATACTTAACTCGCAAAATGGTGGCACGCAAGGAATCTGGGTTCTCAAGGAGACGCCAAGCTTGTTTAGCCAACATCGCCAAATTAAAACAATGAATATCACGAAAGCCCATTCCGCCTTGGCTTTTCGGGACACACATTTTCCACCACGCCATCCAATGCATCCTTCTCTGGTTGTCGTCATCACCCCACCAAAAACGCGACATCTCATCAGTTATTCCTTTACAAATTTTGTTAGGAATTATAAAGACCGACATAGCATAAGTTGGGATAGCTTGAACAACACACTTGAGAAGAACTTCCTTGCCTCCAGTGGATAAGAGTTTTTCTTTCCATCCGCTAATTCTCATAACAATGCGATCAATCAGATATTGAAAACAATCGGTCTTATCTAATCCCACATGCGCAGGCAGGCCTGATACTTATCATTGAGAGCTTCGATCATGATATTCAAAATTGAGCAAATTTGTTCTCTAATGTCCCCACTCGTATTTGGGATAAAAAATATGCTAGATTTTTCAACGCTCACCATTTGTCCAGACGCCGCACAATATAAGTTTAAAATTGATTTAAGTATCTCTGCATTTTGTTGATTAGCTTTCATGAGGATCAATGAGTCATCCGCAAAAAAGAAGATTTGTGATAGTAGGTTCCTCTCTGCAGACCTTGACTCCTGAAATATTCCCAATCTCCTCCGCATGCACCAAGAGAGCGGTAAGGCCCTCCATGCATAATAGGAAAAGGTAGGGAGATAATGGATCACCTTTTCTTAAGCCTCTTGTAGGCTTGAACTTTCAGTTTCTACATCATTAATCCGTACCCTATACTCAACAGTAGAGACACATTTCATAATAAGATTTACCCATCTCTCCTAGAAACCGAGTTTCAACATAATTCCCTTCAAAAAAGTCCATTCGACTCGATCGTAAGCTTTGTGCATATCAAGCTTGATAGCACATAAACCCTCTTTTACCACCCTCTTATTTTTAATAGTATGAAAGCTCTCATAAGCCACTAAAACATTGTCTGTAATCATTCTACCAGGCACAAAAGCACTTTGGGTCGGGCTAATAATATCAAGCAGTAAAACATTCAAACGCGCCGACAACATTTTGGAGATAATTTTGTATACAACATTGCAAAGACTGATAGGTCTAAACTGGGTTACCTTCTTGGGTGAGTTGACCTTGGGAATCAACACGATCGCAGTATCATTCCAACCCCGTGGAATTGTACAAGTATTCACTGCTTGCAAGACCTCATCCACCAAATCATCCCCTAGCATGGGCCAAAATCTTTTATAAAAAATAGCATGAAGACCATCTAGCCCCGGAGCCTTTAAATCACCAATATCAAAAAGAGCCTTATGAACATCATCAGCAGTATAAGGGGCGAGCAGGGCATTATTCATCTCAGTAGTCACTCTACTCCGGACAAGAGACAAAACTTCCTGATTTGGGTATAAAACCTCCGATGTAAAAAGACTGGAGAAATAACCCATAATATGTTCCTTCAGATCATTACCTTGTTTCCAAACACCAGTGTCATCCAGAAGTCTTCTAATATTGTTCCTTTTTTTCCTAGCCGTTGCAGCGTTATGAAAAAACGAAGTATTACGGTCCCCATGTAGCAGCCAGTTCGCTCGACCTCTCTGTATCCAAAAAAATTCCTCTTGGTCCAAAGATTTTCAATGAGTACTAGAATTTCCTTTTGCCTTGAGCGGGATTCACCACTAATAGGGCCACGTTTCAGCCTCTCTAGTTCTTTTTTAACTTATTTATTCTCCTCTTTGGTCCTTTCAAAGTTATACGGTCCCAAGAATGTAAATCATCATGCACTGCTCTAGTCCGTGCTGCGAGAGAGGGACCAATACCCGCCAACTTTGTTTTTTCCCAAGCAGTCTTCACAATATCCTCAACAGTATCTTCTTTCGTCCATTTTGCTTCAAATTGTCTCACATGACCATTCCGATGATTAAACAAGTTACTATCAAAATAATCTGTGTCAAGGATTAAAGGACAATGGTCTGAGTGTACATGATCCCCATTAATAATGACAACATGCGGGAATTTATTTGCCCATTCTAAATTACAGACAGCTCGATCAAGCCTTTCACGGATATCCCCCCTTCTCCAAGTGAATGGATCACCAACACAGCCCATATCCTCCAGGTTACAGTCACTCAAGCACTTACGGAATTCCTGCATCATTTCATTTTGTCTAGCATTGCCACCTTCTTTTCGCTAGAATAGATAATTTCATTAAAATCTCCAATGACTATCCAAGGATAATCAGCATGGGAATGCAGTTGGCGAAGATCAGCCCAAGATAAATATTTTTCATTCCATGCCGGATAACCATAGAAACCCGTAAAGCGCCAATTTACAGAATTATCATTCATAAACAAAACATCAATAAAATGGGAAGACAAGTAGTTCAACTCAACTTTATTCTCTTTTTGATAGAAAAGTACAAGACCACCAGACTTGCCATCATTCTCGTCTAAAAACATGGAACTAAAACCTAAGATACAACATAGCTCGTCAGCTTTACTTTTATTCAAATGCGACTTGGAAAGAAAAATCAAATCCGCACAAGTACAACCTTGGAGCTCCCGGAGCTCTCGAACTGCCGTGGAAGACAACATTCCACGACAGTTCCAACTAATTGCTCTCATTTCTCCTGGCGGTCCTCCGGACCGGAGGCCGCCAAATCAGTGCCCGCAACTCTGTCCTCTCCAATGGACTCCCTGCTTTGTTGTGTGTAAACCTCCTCCTTCTCTTTTTCCTTCGCTATATGCGTAATAACCCCATCCACATCCCTCCTAGTTTCAACTCTACCCATACAAACTCTCTTAGAGGAAACACTCGTCTCACCATACAACAGGCGTTCATAGCTATCCATCTCTCTCTCAAAAGAAAAATTTAAATCAGTACTCGTTTGTGGGGCATCAAAAGGGTTACTTCTCTTTTTCCCTATGATTTGATTTCGATCACTCTCTGACTTCTCATTTCCTCCCTTCTTTCTATCCTTTCTCTCTTCTTTTTCTGACCCTGCATGGAAATTTTACCAGCAGCAAAAGTAAATACTCCAGTATCATTAGTCGTGTTCTGGTCAGCCAGCCTTGCCGCAACTGCACCTGAGAGTGCCTCCAGTATGCCGGGCTTAAACAACAACATGTCCTGCAGATTATTTGCGCCAGCCGCATCATCAGAATTAGAAACAGCAACCGGCAGGATAAGCCCCTGGCTCCCCTGGATTGCCGCGTCGAACATGCGGCCATCAGCATGCACCAGAGCCCGCGATATAGTCGTCCCCATGCGGCGCTCGAGCACATGGCCCTCCTGGCCGTGCTTAGCACCAAAGAAAGAGCCCCCCCTCCTTTCCCTGGCCCTCCTGGCCAGAGAGAGCAGAGGGTCTCGGAAGTGTTGGCTGGTCCTCCTGACCGGAGCCAGCGCCTGCGTGGGACGACGTTGGAGCCCCATACACCCGACCCTCTTGGCCGAGCGGGACACCCGCCCACGAAACGCCGCAGCGGCTGGCGTCGTAGATGTCGTAGTGAGCATATCCGTGACCGTGAGGTCAGCCACGGCTTTGGTCACCTTGACCACACTCTTTTCTGCAGCTCTGTAGTAGTTGTTGCTGTTGGAGCCGGCGAACAAATGTGTTCTTTTACTCGCCCATGTTCCCTTCCAATATGCCTCTACACTAAGATTCTTTGGAAAAGAAGCAACCCTTTTATCCTTAGGTATACTACAGTAACACTCTGAGGTATGTCCTACAATCCCACAACACTCGCAGTACAAAGGAAGTTTCTCATATCTAACATCATACTTAACACTCTCGGAACTACCCAAAGGAGTAAAATCTACTGTTGTCTTAAGAGGTTCATGCAGAGGGATTTCCACCCTTATACGCAGATATTTCTTACAATTAAGTGATCTCTACGGGAAACAACACTCACATCCCCAAGTTGTTCTCCTAATGTCCAGCCCATGCTCTCAGTTTTGAGTTCAAAATCTAGATCACGAACCTGCACCCATATTGGCATTACGCCAAGGTCAACCTCTGTTGGGTTTCCCTTGCCGTCGAACTCGGCGAAGATGACTCCATCACGCTTATGGTGCCATGGCTGGGCCTTCAAAATGAACCGCCGGTCCTGCTCGGTGGAAAAATTCAGGACGAACCTGAGCGTTCCTCGCAGCCTCCATGCTGAAGAGTCCCGAAGCTCATCGACAATGACCGGCGGGTTCACTTGGAAGGTTGTATGGTAGGATTGTGTCATATGGAAACATTTTTTTTTCAGGGTACATATGGAAATATTTCCTTCCATTGCAAGATTAACGTACGGAATCCAACTAGTGGAGCCCATTTAACTAAGGAGCTGACCCAAAGAAAACAGAAAAGTCCATCGTCTGGGCTGCAACTCCCCAGATGTTCGGCTACTGGGCTGGAGCTCCAGAGCCACAGCGCCGCCGCTTTTCTTAGAGAGACACGAGCTTGAGGCCGACGGGGCGAGGGCCGGCGAGGCGATAGGCGAGACCAGAAGACGGGAAGAGGACGTCGCCGCACGGCAGCGGGAAACTCCTGTAGCCCGCCCCTGCTGTGACCGATGGTCCGGCGTGGCGGCACGCGTCGTGTGAGGCTGCGCCTGCGCCCTTCCAGGGAAGAATCTAACCCTAGGAGGAAACAGAGAGGTATGCGTTTTCCCGTTTTTCTCTTGTTTTTTTTAATCTCCTGCTACAATTCATTGTTTGTAAATGCAAAACAATGAATCATTAATTGGATTGCAAATTTGTCTGGAATTTGGACTGTACACTTCGACAGAGACTTGAAAGATGAATATAAATTATGAAAATTCAAGGACTTTGTGGGACAGAGTCTTGAAGAGCTCTGTGCACCTAAATTCGCAAATACTAACTCCGCCACTCGGTATAATGTCCCAACTTCTACATATATCTTTTTGATGAAACTCATTCCTATATCTTAGTTCCCGAAACTAGTCCTAATTCAGGCGTTACATATGTCCAACTTTTACTTGCGTATCTTTTTTCAGATAATAGTGACCTTAATTGATTCTTATTATTATGAAGATCCTTCATACAGAAATATACAATACATTTGTAGAAAGCAGAGAATACATTTTGGGAGAGAGAACGCAATACACAGGGCTTGGTACGTGGTACATCAACTGAAGCTGGAAGCAAAGGATTAAATTCACAGTTTTGCTAGAACTCATCTAGATGAGATATAATTTGGTCTCATTCACTTTTTATAGCCATTGAATGTGATGCTATAAGATGCGTGTGTGCTGACGTGGGTTGTATCTATTCTTGTTTTCAAAGTGAATGAGACCAAATTATATCTCATCTAGATGAGTTCTAGGTACTCCCTTAAATTCAGGTGATCAGTGCTCCGTATCAGGAGCGGAGGGGTGCTGATCATCAGTGTTGTGAGTTACTGAGTTGCAGTGGCTTCTAGATTTGGAGCAGCAATGACTCCTGGTTTTGGTTTTGCGGTGCTATGGTATTTATTCTTGCACCAGAATAGAAGCCGTAGGAAGATCACTATGGGGAGGAGCAGCAGGATGACCTTCCAAAATGTGCCCCACTTCCGGGCACTGCCTGCGGCGTAGGCTACCAGGAGGGCGAGCATGTCCAGTACCATCACCGTGTGCAACGACCAATGATCGCTCTTCTTACCCAGAAGCCGCAGGAGCAGCAGCAAGGCGATGACGACGATGATGGAAGCCATGAACGAGATGGAGTTGCTGTAGAAGTAGACCATGTACCGCCGCCTGTGCATGTCGTACAGGACCGGGCTGCCAGCGGAATGCCCATTGTTGTCGTCCCTCCACAGGCCGCCGGGCGGTTTTAGGCCGGTCAGGTAGGTCACGCTGGCAGACAGTATCCCTAGCAGCATCAGGTATATGGCCTTGTTGTTGTCAGCCACATGATTTCCTTCTGCAGGTTGCTTTTGGTGCATGGCCGCATGGTCGGCCACATGATCTCCCTGCACTCCTTGTGCAGGTTGTATTTGGTCCTTGGCCGCATTGTCGGCCACATGATGTCCTTGCACTCCTTGTCCAGGTTGATTTTGGTCCTTGGCCGCATCGTCGGTCACATGACCTCCCTGCGGCTCTCCTTGTCCAGCAGGTTCCTTTCGCTTCAGCTTGTGGGAGCCCGTCAGTACCAGATACACTACAAAACCAAACACCAGAGCAACCAATACCAAGATGATGATGGAGGCTCGGAGGTGCAGGGAGCTCCCGGCAGCGTAGGCACCCATGAGGCCAAACATGCCCCCCACCATGCACACAAAGAGGGCATAGCACTCTATGGCCGGCTTGTACAGGGTGGGATTAACGAGGAGGATGATGAGAGCCACAGACGCCATGAAGCTCGCCGCGTTGCAGTAAAAGAAGGCCTTGTAACGGAGATGGTACTTGTCCTGGAGGATGGAGAAGCCGGCGTGGTGCCCGTGCTTCTCGTCGTCCATCTCCCAGAAGCCGCCCGGCGGGGTCAGCCCGGCTTGGTAGGTGATGCTGGCGGCCAAGATCGCGAGGAGTAGCAGCACCTCGCGACACTTGTCCAGCACATCCGTGTCCATGTCTTCAGGGTCGAGCGTGAAGAAGACTATGTGGATGACCACGTAGATGAGGACGGCGCCAGCCATGGCCACAATGTAGATGGAGGTGCTCGTGTCCCGGCTGCTCCCCGCGGCGTATGCACCCATGAGGCTGAACAGGTCTAGTATCATAGTAGCCTCCAGTATGTGGAGCCTAACTAGCATCTCGCTCTGCAGCATGACGATGATGACCAAGGACGCCACGAAGGCCACCGAATTAGAATAGAAGAAGGCCTTGTACCGTATTGGGTGTGTTGTGAGGAGTATTGAGTCTCCAACAGTATGGCCTTCCCCACTCTCCAGCCAGAGGCCTCCTGGTGGATCAAGTCCAGCTTGATAAGTGATGGTCGCCGCAAGTATAGCAAGCAGCTGAATAAACTCGCGGGCCTTGTTGAGTTTTTCATTTTCATCATGTTCTCTCTTCGGAATCTTGTCCTTTTCTTTTTCGTCGGTCAGTGGTGGTGGTGGTCTGTGTATCCATGCATTACAGATAGATACATAGTTAGAGGCATTTATAGTTAAGTTGCAGCCTAGAATTGTTTTTTATGATTAAACCAAAACGTAGGAAATAATACTACTGCATGCATGGAGAGCTGTGATTTAATTATGCATGTCAAAGTATACACGAAGCCAGAGTAGTCGAGACTCGGGACTAGACAGGCATCTAGCAGGACTGCTAGATAGGTGTTTTTGAAAATTAAGCATATTGTTTTGTTATGTCTAGAAACGAACACAAGTTAAGATGGTCTAAGTGTATGTTGTTTGACTAGAGTTGAACGGATTCACCGCCATATGGCTGACCGGCGATTACTAGCGATTCCTGATATTGTTTTTCATGAAACTAACACAGTGATCCACACATTTGTGCTGCTAGATTTAGTAAATGTTCTACATTTGTGTAAATTTTGAGATATAGTGTGCCATTAGAATATTTCAGATTTCAGACTGGAAACAACCATGTAGCCCAAATATACCACTGGAAAAACTTATTTGATATTATTTCCCCTGACAGTTATTTGCCTCACCCGAGCTGTTTTTTAATTTAATTCACCTCAACATGTTTGGAGTTTTGTAAAAATAAAAAGGGATTTTGACATGTGACAAAATAAGGTTGAAGGGCCATGGCATGTCAATCATAAGCCATCAAACTAAGATCTAACATTGTCTCCCATACTCTCCTCACACCCCTCTAGTATTAAGTCTTTTACAAACATACTTTCGTGAAACTTTTCTAACAATAACTGATTGAAATATTGATGGGTCATACTTAAATGTACTAGTTTCTTAGTTTATATAATGACATGCCTCCACATGTTCCATGCATGCTTATTATTTTCTAATTTTTAATGGTGTTTCCATTGTAAAAGCAATGTATACGCCAGGG